GGGCATGTACCACAAAAACAAAAACAAAAAAAAAACTTATAAATGAGGAAACAGAATCTAAGCAACTTGTCTAAGATCATACCCATATCATACAGCTAGTCGGAGGCCAACTGGGAATCTCATACAGGTTCATTTATTTTCACTCTCTGAGTTTTTAGCCATCCTCAGAGCTTGAGATCAAAATCTGCTTTTGACAGTAAGAATGTGCTTAAGTAGTCAGTTGGATTCTTTATCCCTGACATCCATCCATCCATCCATCCATCCATCCTTTCACCCATCCATTCCTGCGATGTGTCCAGTCAACCAACTATCCATCTGCTATGGTCTGAATGTTTGTGTCCCTCCAAAATTTATATGTTGAAATCCTAACCCCTAAGGTGATGGTATTAGGAGGCGGGGCCTTTGGGAGGTGATTTGGTTATGTAGGCAGGGCCTTAATGAATGAGATTAATACCCTTCTAAAAGAGAAGCTCCCTTGCCCCTAAGAAAGCTCCCTTGCCCCTGTCTGCCATCTGAGTATATAAAGAGAAGTCTGCAGCCTGGAAAAAGGCCTTCATTTGACCTTCCTGGCGTCCTGATCTTGTACTTCCAACCTCCAGAACTATAAGAAATAAATTTCTGTTGTTAATAAGCCACCAAGTATGTGGAATTTTGTTCTAGCAGCCTGAACAGACTAAGACATTATCCAACCATCCGTCTAGTCCTCCATCCATTCATTCAACCATCCATCCAGCCACAAATGCCACGTAGCTATCCATTCTGCAAATACCAAGGGCCTCCTCTATGCTGATATTGTGCCGCGGAAGCTGAATACAGAAGTGACCAGGATACAACACTTATGAAAGCTGGGTTCTCACTAGATTTAGAACTCCTTGAGGGCAGCATCTCATGCTTTTGTTATTTATTTATTTATTTAATCAATCCTCACCCAAGGACATTTTTTGTTCAGATAGAGTAGGAGGGAGAGAGAGGAAGAAAGAGAGAGAGAGCAACATCAACATGAAAGGTGCACATCGAGTGGCTGCCACCCGCACAACGCAACCAGGGCCGGGGACAAACTGCAACCGAGATACGTGCCCTTAGCGGGAACCGAACCCGAGTCTCTCTGGACCACAGGCTGACACTCTAACCGCTGAGCCAAACTGGCCAGGGCAGTATCTCTTGCTTTTGTTTTTTTGTTTTTTTTTTTTTATCCTCACCTGAGGACATTTTTTTTTTTTCCATTCATCTTCAGGTAGAGCAGGAGGGAGAAAGGGGGGAAGAGAGAGAGAGAAACATCGAGTGGTTGCCACCCACATGACCCCAACTGGGGCAGGGACAAACCACAACCGAGGTACGTGCCCTTAGCGGGAACCGAACCGGGGACTCTCTGGTCCACAGGCCGACGCTCTAACCGCTGAGCCAAACTGGCCAGGGTGTTGCTTTTGTATCGGTAGTGCATAAAATATGACTTGACTCCTGTCTTCCTTTTCAATTTTTTTTGGGGGGGGGGTACGTGCCCCTAGCGTGAACCGAGCCCGGGACTCTCTGGTCCGCAGGCTGACACTCCAACCACTGATCCAAACCGGTCAGGGCTTCAGTTTTTTTTTTAAATTTTCACCTGAAGATATTTTTACATTTATTTACATACACAGTGGGAGGGGAGGGAGGAAGAGAGAGAGAAAGAGAGAGAAATATCGATGTAAGAGAGAGACATCGACTGGTTGCCACCCGCACGACCCCGGGGCCAGGGACAAACTGCAACTGAGGTACGTCCCCTTAGCCGGAATTGAACCCTGGATTATTTGGTCCGCAAGCTGACGCTCTAACCACTGAGCAAAACTGGCCAGGGCCTGTCTTCCTTTTCAATCTTATCTCACCCACTTATCTTCTTGCAGTTCCTCTTCAATTACACTGGTCTCCTTTCCATTTCTGGATTAAGACCTTTTTGCCTCAGGACTTTTGTAATTGCTGTTCCTTTTGACCCAAATGTCAAGCAATGCCAATACCTGGCTTCTTCTTATCTTTCCGCATCTTTGGGAAAATGTCAGTCTTCAGAGAGGCCTTTTCTGACCACCTTATCTAGAGCAGACACTCTCTTCTCCTCCCCAGCTACTCCCTGTCACCTCATCCTGTTTATTTCTTCTAAGGCATTGCTCCCAATCTGTAATCATTTTGTTTATTTCTTACTTATTTTCCAACTTCCTAACCAGAAAAATAAACCCCAGGGGGCCAGGTACCAAGTCTTTCATGTTTTTTTCTGCATGACTTCTGCCACCCTAACCCAGTAACCGACATACAGTAGGCCTTCAATATTTATTTGTTGAATAAATGGATAAAAAAAATTCATGACCAGATCTTTCCGGTATTCGAAAGCTTGAAGAGTAGTAGAAAACAGACCTTGAAAGGTAGAGTAGGAACAGAGAGAAAGATAAGCAGAAGAGGATATACTTGATGGGAACATAGGGAACTAGTAGAATAAAAAAAATGATTTAGGAGGGTAATTTGGCATACCACAATCTGTCATACGTTCTTAATTTAAATAATTCACTGCAGTGTCTTGCAGTAAATCACTACAGAGGGTCCTTGGGTCCTAGGACCTGAACTGTATTTTTCTCACTGTATTTAATTAATTGATAATGGTGAACTATAGACAAAGTGATTATGGTGAAAACCCTGTAAAGTGGGATCCACTTCTGTTTACTGCAGGTTTCAGGCCTGTAGGAGATAAATTATTTAAGTAAATGAGTGAGTGAAACAATCATGCCCTTAGAAGACCTGGGTTAGATAAGATTTGCTACTAGCCATCTGTGAGACCTTTAAGAAGATCCTTAACCTGGCTAAGGTCAGTTTCTTCATCTGTAAAAGAGAAAGAAGACAACTCACAGGATTTTAAATGAGAGCTGATGAGAACATCTCTGGCACAGAGTGGAAGTCAGTAAATTCATTTCCTTCTGTTACTCTGGAGATGCCGAACCTGCCCTGACAGGGATTTCCTACTGGCCTTTTCCCAACAGCCTTGTGGCTTGAAATAGTCAGAGCATATGGTGATATTTACTTTTTGCTTTTTTTATTCTTTCCAATGTAAAGCTGGAATTGTGACTCTGCAATTTATAGCTGGATGACCTTGGGCACCCTCTTTGTGCCTCAACTTCTTTCTTTGTTAATCCTCACCCCAGGATATTTTTTTCATTGATTTTTAGATAGTGGAAGGGAAGGAGGGAGGGAGGGAGGGGGGGAGAGAGAGAGAGACACAGAGAGAGAGACAGAGAGAGAGAGAGAGAAAGAAAGAAAGAGAGAGAGAGAGAGAGAGAGAGAAAGAAAGAAAGACAAACATCCATGTGTCTCACATTGACTGGCTGCCTCCTGCATGACCCCACCAGGGCCGCGGATGGAACCTGCAACCCAGATACGTGTCCTTGACAGGAAATCAAACCAGAGACCCTTAGGTCCATAGGCTGATGTTCTAACCGCTGAGTCAAACCAGCCAGGGCCCTCAATTTTTTTTTTTTTTACCCTCACTCGAGGACATTTTTTCGTTTTTTGTTCAGATAGAGTGGGAGGGAGAGAGAGGAAGAGAGACAGAGAGAGACATCGACGCGAAAGGGACACATAGAGTGGTTGCCACCGGCACAACCCAACCAAGGCCAGGCCGGGGACAAACTGCAACCGAGGTACGTGCCCTTAGCGGGAACCCAACCCGGGTTTCTCTGGACTGCAGGCCGACACTCTAACCGCTGAGCCAAACTGGCCAGGGCCCTCAATTGTTAAAAATCTATAAAATAGGTATAATAATAGTACCTGCCTCATAGGAGTATTGTTAGGGATTACACGAGATGTATAAGTGTCTGAATTAGTGACTGGTACATAGTAGGTTCTCAAATGTTAGCCATAATTCTTTAGAACTTTATTTTCCTTAATGCTGGCAACTTTCCTCCTCTTCCTCCTGTAGGCACTACAATCTTCTGGAGAGAACACCGACTCTGATGTGAAATTTGAGAGAAATGGATTCAGTAGCTTCTTCCAGACACACAAACCAAAAGCCTCAGTAAGAATAGAGAAGCAGGACACCGAAGAGAGGGACTTTTTGTACCTGTGGCCTAGGAGAGACCAGAAAAGAAAAAAAACGCTTAAGCAAGGAACCCAGTGCACCCGTTTTCCAGTGATTTTGAGAGAACAAGTAGTGTTAGGTGGAAGCCCAGCAATGCCTCCAGACTAATTTCTGGAACTCTCATTAGCTTAATTCACTGTGCTTTTCATTAGCATTTTCCTAGAAAGTGAAGTCAAGGAAAACACTCCGTGTGTGGGGCTGGAGTAGCTACCATGAGGTTATGGAGAACGTTTTGCACATCATTTTATCCCCAGCACCTAGCACAGTGTCTAGCATAGCAGGGACTTAAAAAGTGTTTGTAGAATTATTTTCAAACTTTAGTTGTCCTCTCCAAGGAAACTTGTCGTGCCCACAAGCGGCCGCAGGCAGGTCCGCGCCTAGAAATAACATTTATTCTAAGGACCTCTGCGCACGGATTCTTGGGAAGCAGTTCCCCTCCGTCATTCGCTTGTTACTCCACCCCATCGGTCGCCTTTGAAAGAACTGGCACGCCACGTGATTCCCTCCTTTCTCCCACCTTTGAAAGCCTGGCTGATAACGGGCAGGAGCGTAGGCCAACCATAATATTTTATTTCCTCTTCTAGCCAATAGAAAGACACGATATGTATATAGTTCAGCTTTTTACTTTCCCCGCCCACTTTGAGCCCGCCCCCCCACTACGATTCGACATTTGACAACCCCTCCGGCCAATGAGAAGTTCCTACTCTGCATGGGAGGGATGGACTGACTAGATAATAGACGTCCGGATCTGGCCAATGGAATATCACAAGTGAGGGAAGAGAGTAGGACGGAACCAATGGCGCGGTGCCAATAACGAGCATCAGTGAAAGGGCGGGACGAAACTTCGCGGGAGGGAGGGGAAGGCCCAGGGAACTAAGCAGCGCTGCCGCCACCGCCGCTGCAACCGGAGTTGGAGGAGGGAGAAGCCAGGAAGAAAATGGCGGCCGTGGCTGCAGAGGCGGCAGCGACTGCAGCGTCCCCCGGGGAGGGGGGCGCCGGCGAGGCCGAGCCGGAGATGGAGCCCATCCCCGGCAGCGAGGCCGGTACTGACACCCTCCCGGTCACGGCCACTGAAGCATCTGTGCCGGACGGCGAGGCCGACAGGCAGCCGTCCTCTCCTCAGGCCGACGAGCCGTCGCTCTCGCCTCCGCGGGAGCTCGCCCGCAGCCCAGAGGCGGCGGGGCCGGAGCTGGAGGCTGAGGAGAAGCTGCCCGCCCGGGTGGTGGAGCCGGCGGCAGCCGCGCCTCAGGAGGGGCCCGGCCTCCCTTCTCCGGCACCGCCGCCCGAGCAGCCCCCGGCCCCCGAGGAGCGCCAGGAGCCGCCGCTGCCCCAGCCCGCAGCCCCGACGCTCGTGCCGCCGGCGGGCGGGGACTCCGCCGTGTCGCAACTCATCCCCGGCTCGGAGGTGCGGGTCACGCTGGACCACATCATCGAGGACGCGCTCGTCGTGTCGTTCCGCCTTGGGGAGAAGCTCTTCTCCGGGGTCCTCATGGATCTGTCCAAAAGGTATCGCGCCCACCCAGCCCGCCCTGGGCGCCGGTCCGCTCGGTCCCCAGGGAGGGTGTCAGCCAGGGCGGCCCCTGCCCCCGCCCGCCGCCCGGCACCCCGCCGCCCGCGCCGCCTCGGGTCCCGCGTGGCGCGCTCCGTGGGGCAGGGCGCGAGGCCGGGAGAGGGCGGCCCGGCCCAGGTGAGCGCCTGCGAGGGCAGGTGTGCCGCCAGGTGTGGTCGCGGGCGCCGACGGGACCCGGCTCCCAGCCCCCACCCTGGTCTCCGCGCGGCTCAGCCACCCCGGGGCGGGGGTAGGGGGCGTTCATGCAAAATGCCAGGGATTTCTGCGGAGAACGGGGTGCTGGGCCGGGGAGCCTGCTTGTGAGGCACTTCTGTTCTCGGATTAACCTTTCACTGGAATAAGGCTGCAGAAAGGGGTGTGCGCATTGGGGTTCCCAAAAGGGTACCTGTCACTCCGTGTAGGAGAAGAACGTTTATTTAAAATGAGCCTTTTGACGGGTTTTCTTACTGTTAGAACTCATCCTCCTTAGGTAACTGTTCAACAGGGAACATATTTGGCTAATTATGATGATAATTTTAAGGAAAGCCTAAAGGAGATCGAATTTTTAGAAAACCTTGAATGTCAAGATTGGGGTGGTATAAAAGTGTTCGAATACGGACTTCCAATACTGTAGATATAGTTTAAATTGATGTATTAAGGACAAAGAGGTTGAGGTCACCCACAGACCTCTGTGTTAACCAGCACATTTGACTTAAAATGTTTATGAGCATCGCTTATATAGGTGAAGAAGAAATAGTCTAAGTCTAGAGTCGAGTTAACCTTTTTACTCTTCTTTTGCAGATATGAAGTGCAGACTCCCATTCACGGCTCTCCATTCTGTTTACTGCAACAGCACACACTCTGATGGTAGCTCACCTGTTTGGAAGTAGCTAGTTTTACTATGTGTTACTTTTAACTTCTTGCCCCCTCCCGCCAACGCACAAGAGTGCTTTCCCATTTGGGGAACATTTGTTATTTAAAATAACATTTCGAAGTATGATTTTGATGGGGGAAAATGGGGAGCCTTTACAATTATTTCTGCACGTCGTTTAATTTTTTTTTTTTTTTGAGAATTTTGACTTAGGACTTTTGAACTTTGGTTTTCATAGTTAGAAAGCAGAATAAGACTAGTGTGCTTTCTACTGATGTATTTAATAATGAAAGGGAAAAGAGACTCAGTAGTGTGTATGCTATTGAATCAAACAGAAGTGAAGGCCTGTGATTGTGTGAGAATCTGGATTTCAAATCTGCAAAAGGAAGGTGCAAAAAGGTAAGTTATTTCTGGAAATGGAATGGATAGTGCAGTCCTGTTTTGAAGTGCTCATATGTTGGTGTTTTACTTTTTGAAAAATTTTCTTTGGTGGAGAATTGCAATTTTTTTTTTTTTTTTTTTGAGTTTTGGTCTATTTTACTAGAGTGCTTCTTATAAACAGCAGTTTCTTTTGTTGAGGAAGCTATTTTTATTAACCTTTTACATAAAAGGTTAATATTAAAGTATTTTTAAAAAACCCATTAAGGGAAATAGCATTTCATTCAACAACTATTTATTGAGCACATCTGTTTGTATACACCCTCCCAGGTATTCCTCCTTATTGTGCTTCACAGGTTTTGCTTTTTGTTTTTACAAACTGAAGGCTAAACCCTCTACCAGTGAAAAGATTACGACTGGCTTTATTATAATACTTGATTTATTAAGATGAGCTGGAACTGAACTACAGTATCTTCGAGGTATACCTGTATATGTATGAGACACAGTTTCTGCCTTTAAAAAAAATGTTTTTGTTGATTTTAGAGAAGAAGGGAGAGGGAGAGAAAGAGAGAGAAACATCGATTAGTTAGTTGCCTCCTGTATGCACCCTGACCTGGGATCCAACCCACAACCTGGGTATGTGCCCTGACTGGGAATCCAACCGGTAACCTTTCCGTGCGTGGGAAAATGCTCAGCCAACTGAGTACACGAGCTAGGGCAGTCCCTGCCTTCTATTAACTTAATGGGAGGCACCCACTGTAGAAGTGGCGAGGGAATTAAACACAGGAGTATTTAAAATTCAGCACTTCAAGGAATTATTTGACCAAGACTTGACTAGTTTGGTATCCTTTTATCATATTAACATAATTTGGAAAATGGAACTGCCAAGTATATTTTGTAATGTGCTACGTTGATTGTGTACTTTTTTTTTCTAAGAACAGTTCATTGGTTTTTAGAGAGAGAGGAAGGGAGAGGGAGAAACATCTGTGTGAGAATGAAACATCCATCTGCTGACTGTTACACACTCCCTAGCTGGGATAGAGCCTGGAACCCAGGCATGTGCCCTTGTCCACAAATCCAGCCTGCAACCTCCTGGTGCCTGGGAAGACATCCAACCAACTGAGCCACACTGGCCAGGGCAATAGCAGTCTTTTCATGTATACTTTTGGGGTTAGCTAATGATCCAGGAGATACAATTTATAGACTACCAAGACCATGACTACAGTCATTAGTTGCTTTAAAAATAGTTTGTATCCGATTCGAATTGGCCATTGGGTTAAACCTTTAGGTAAAAATAAGAGCTTCCTATTGAGTGCCTATTATGTACCAGGCATTGTGCCACCTGCTTTATTAAGTCTTTAGAATTCCTGGTATTTTCATTTATATAGGAGGAAATTGAGGTTCATTTAATTTGGCCAGTCACTTAGCTTATAAATGGCGAAGTAAGGATTCAAATATAGGTTGATCTGAACCTAAAAAGCCTACACTTCTACTTTCATGTTAAAAAGTTAGTTGGACTGGCAAATTTTGTTTTTTCAAAAAAAATTTTTTTTTCTATATTGATTTTAGGGAGAAAGAGGGAGAGAAACATCAATGAGAGAGAACATCAGTTGGCCGCCTCCAACACGCCCCCCCCCCCCCCTCGTATTTGGCCTGCAACCTGGGCATGTGCCCCGAATGGGAATCGAACCGGTGTCTTCTTGGTGCATGGGTCGATGCTCAACCACTGAGCTACACTGGCTGGGCTGCCAGTTTTTTTTTTAGTAAGTCAAGAATTGCATATTTCTGAAATGTAGTGCTTATCTTGATTTCAGTAGCAATATGGGGTAATCAAATGCTGTGGATATTAGAGCCAAGCAGATTCTTTAGTCAGCTAATAGCCATGGAGCCTTCTGCCTGGAGGCTCCCCATGTCCTTAGCTGTATATTGGAATGCAGAGTAGGCTCTGAAGTTTTGGTTCTTGCCTGTTCAGTAAGACAGGAAAAATTAACCTTTGGTGGACTACCTAAGTGCATCAATGTATGTGTGCTTTTCTTTAGTCTAAAGAAAAAGGCCAGTTATTGCTTTTATTATTTTATTCTAATATGCATGGTACAGAAATGTCGTTTAAAAAGTTGAGTTTTTTACCATGTAGGAATTGTTTGATCCTAGAGTAAAGTATTTCATATACATATGGATTAAGAGTCTTTTTTTGTTAAGCATTTGACATTCTTCCCTTTCCTGTCATTGTATTATTATTTTTTGTCTTATTTCTAGAGTTATGTGATTGAAAACACATTTTTTTTTGAGGAGAATCTTTTTATGGAAAAAAGGAGCTGGACACATGTAATTTAAAAAACTGAAAGAAAAGAAAGTGGTACTAAATAGTGATCGATCTGGACAGTTTCAGAATATTTGGGTTCTAGCACTGGCCTCCAATTAATACTGTGCCTTTGGGCAAATCTGTGCTTCTCTGGGCTCCAGTCTCCAGTTCTGAGAGACTTTTGACTTTAGGCAGTTCAGTTAAGCACAAACAAGCAAACAAACCCGATGCCTTGGTCTCTATATATGTATAAATAGGGTGACCAGTTGGTCTGGGTTTCCTATCTCATCCTGGTTTGAGTGTTACTTTCTCCTCCTTTCATTCTTCAGAGTAGGTTGCTTTGGCCAATAAAGGACCCTACATGTGAGGATATTTGAATATCTAGTAAAAACAGATATTATATATCATAGTATTTATTTGAAACTGAGTGTCTTTAAGGTGAGCCAGGCATTCATCCTCTCATTTATCAGGCTCCTCCACTGTTTTATACCCAGCCTTCTTAGGTAGTTTAAATTACTTGCCTACTGCTGAATTCATTGGCAATGTCTAGTGACAATACTGTAATACTTACAGGTAAAAATAATCAACTAACCCACAAATTTAATTTGGTTTTCCTATTACCTTTTTTTCCTTAATGTTATGCTTTTGAAATTTTGACATAGGTACATTTGTTTCTTCAGTTAGCATTATATGATAAGCATTCCTTCAAGTTGCTAAATTGTCCTAATGATTATTTTAGCCAGAATAAACAGTGGTTGTACCATAATCTAAAATTTTTATTGTGGGAAATGAACCTTCATGTATACATTACCCTTGCTTTGACATTTATCAACCATTAGTCAAACTTGTGTTGTCATATGTTCACCTCCACTGGATTATTTTGAAGCAGATCCTAAACATATCCCTTTACCATAAATATTTCAGTATAGCTCTCCAAAAAGATAAGGACTTTAAAAATTGAAACTGTACTGCTATTACTACACCTAAAATAACAGCAATTCCTTTCTATCATATATCCAGTTAGGGTTAAAATTTCACAAATCCATCTCAAAATTAACATCTCAGTCAACCTGTTTTGTTTAAATCAGGATCTAAGTAAAGTTTATACATTGCAGTTGATAAGTTTCATAAGTTTTCATCTGCAGTTCTGCCATTACTTTTATTCCCTTGCAGTTTATTTGTTAAATAATAATTTGGTAGAATTTTCCACATTCTGGATTTTTTTCCGATTGCATCTCCTTGGATGCTCTTCCATAACATTTTAAAAATAGTTCTTTTCCCTCAGGAGCAAATTGAAGAGACAACAGCCACAGTCCTATGAGGGCCTCTTTTGAAAGCCTTGTTTTGAGTCATTAGAAATGATATGGGTATCTATCTCTTGCCTGCTGGCGAACTTTTGGACCTAT